GCTGTCAGCGTGAGGGGCGACAGCCTGCTTCAGCGTGAAAGGGGCCATCCCTCAGCCAAATAACTTCCATTTATTAAGCACTTAGTATGGCTCCTACGCTGTGCTGAGCACTTTATAATACCGCCTCGCTGAATCTTCACAACGAACCCCCAAGGCAGGCATTATCATGATTGACCCCATTTTACAGATGGGGAAACTGAGGCCCAGAGAGGCTCAGAGGCATGCTCAAGGTCACAGCGCGAGGGAGTCTGGGTTCGAACCCGTGGCCGTCCGGCTCCAGAGCCCAGGTGCAAAGCCACAGGCTGCGAGAGGGCAAAGGGGAGCCTCCAGGCGGACCGGGAACGCCTCCCGCCCGGTTCCGCTCCCCACCCCAGGCCCAGCGCGCTCACCCGGACGAGGTTGCTGACGGCCGCCTGCACGGCGGCCACGGGCGCGGTGAGGTCAGGGATGGCTTTGCCGTCCACCTCGCCTTCCTCGTGCATGATCACCAGGTGCGAGATCTGCTGCGCCACTGGCTCCAGGATGCTCTCAATCGTGCGCGTGTGAAACACCGGCATCGCGGCGGTGAGCGGGGCGGCGAACCGCGGGCTTCAGAGAACTAACTGGGAACAGCGGGGCCGGGAACCCGCGGACAGACGGACTCTGAGCCGCGACTAGAGTCCGGGCTTCCCTCGGCGTTACCAGCCTCACGGGCGCCCCGCCCCCCTCGCGTCGTCGCGCCCAATGGCAGCGCCGCTCAGACCCGGGCTGCCACTCCTATTGGTCCCACTTCGAGATGCTCCGCCCCCGGCCCCGCGCCAACGAGATCCCGCCCAGCCCCGCCCCCATTCCCAAGGGAGGGGCCTGGGATTGGGCTGCGCCGCGGGGATGGCGACTGGATTCCCAAACCCTAACGCCGGGCGCGCCTTATAAGGGCATGGTGGGAGCGGGCGTGCGGCGGGATCGGTGGCCCCGCCCCCGGGCCGCCTCCGGCCGGGTTCCGCGGAACTCCGCCCCTCTGCGGAGTCACCTCAGGGGCGGGGCCTCACCTCCCGCTGGCTGCAGCGGGCTGAGACCCGGGAGCCACCGGTCTGTCTGCTCGTCCCCTTCCCAACCTTCCCTTCACAAGAGGCCCTCAAAATACTCACTCCGCTCCCTCTTAGCAGGACGTGGAAACGTTTTTAGAAAAACATGCAAACAACAGAAGTGCACAGACTGGAACATGAGCGTCCCATTCATTCACAGACACTCCACCCACTCTCCTCCTCAAAGATACTATTAACAGTTTGGTGTGTCGCTTCGTAGACCTTTGTCTATCTGTGTGTGTGTGTGTGTGTGTGTGTGTGTGTGTGTGTGTGTGTGTTTGTACATACATATTTTCAAAATAAATGGGATTAAACGTTTTCCTGGAACTCGAACTTTTTTCCTCTTCATTAAAATCCCCTGGTTATCTTTCTACCTCATTCTTGTTTTAAGGGCTGCATGGTATTTCATTGCATGAAATCAAACAGTTTCCCAGTAGTGGGCATTTAGGTTGGATTCTGCTTTTCACTATTAAAAAACAATTCTGCATGGCCATCATCGAACTTGCCTCTGTGTTGTACACATGTCGTATTGATCTAGGACAGATACCTAGAAGGGAAGTGAAAATGCTAAAGTGTGTTCATCTTACATTTTGATAGATAAAATCAAATTACAGGTTGCTCTCACAGCACACAGTGTTTAAGACACCTTGTAAATGTCTTCCTCGCCTCAAATTCTCTTCCTCCCTTGCTTCCTCATTCCAAAATGAAACACTTGCACGAATACCTGCAAGCAGAAGATGCTCAATTCAAATGAAAATATTTCTCAAGGGCCCACATTTCACAAAAGGCTAAACTATGTGTGAGCTGTTCTGTGTATTTTCTGAAGTTATTTTTACCTGGAAAATATATCCCTTTTCTGCTGTGCATTTGCCAAATCCTGTACTTTTCCTTTTCATAATACCTTCACTTTGTATTCATTTTTAAATTTTTCAATTACAATTCACATTCAACATCACTCTGTATCAGTTTCAGATGTAGAGTAAAGCAGCCAGAAAATCACGTATCCTACGGAGTGGTCCCCTCCCCCCCACTGCCCCAAGTGCCCACCTGGCCCCACACATATTCATAGGGTGTTATTGACTATATTCCCTATGCTATAACCCACATCTCTGTGGCTATTCTATAACTATCAATTTGTACTGCTTAATCGCTTTACCTTTTTCACCCAAACCCAACCCTCCTTTCCTTTATTTTCACTCTTTTGTTACAGCTTTCATGTCCTTGTAGGCAACGTATTTCTATGACTCTATTTTAAAATAACATTTATTTGGTACTTTCTAAATTCTAGGCACTGTATAAACCCTTTGTTTAAGATTACCAACTACTGGCCCTAGCCGGTTGCTCAGTGGTTAGAGTGGTGGCCCTCGGACTGAAAGATCCCGGGTTTGGTTCCAGTCAAGGGCACGTGTCTTGGTTGCAGGTTCCCAGGCCCTGGTCAGGGTGCATGCAGGAGGCAACCAATCGATGTGTCTCTCTCACATTGGTGTTTCTCTCTATCTCTCCCTCTCCCTTCCTCTGCCTCTAAAAATCAATGGAAAATATCCTTGGGTGAGGATTAGCAAAACAAACAAACAAAAAAGATTACCAACTACTCAATTTGTGGGGCCCAGTACGAAATGAAAATGTGGATTGCTTGTTCAAAAAGCAGGGAAATGGTGCTGTTAAAGATACTACAGTATAAACCTTGTTCCTTTCTTTGGTATTATCTCTCTCAACCTGTCATGGTATTTTTTAAAATATATTTATTTTATTGATTTCAGAGAGGAAGGGAGAGGGAGAGAGAGAGAGAGAAACATCAATGATGAGAGAGAATCATTGATTGGCTCCCCACTGGGGATCGAGCCCGCAACCTGGGCATGTGCCCCTGGCCAGAATCGCACCCAGGACCGTTCAGGCTGCAGGCTGACGCTCCATCCACTGAGCCAAACCGACCAGGGCTTTTATGGTATTGTTTTTTTATTTGCTATTTAATGTGGCACTTCCTGGGCAGGGGAATACCTTTGTGGTAAATACAGACCCCCCCCCCCCGCCCCGCCCACAGGAACTTGGTGGCCCATGCCTGGTTGCCTGAAGACCCATCCTGCCAGCTGCTGGACTGACATGAGGTTCCCTGCTAGGGACAAAGAGGGCAAGCCAGGCATCTCCCCTCCTGACAGGCCTGCCTCCCCAACCCACAGCAAATAGGTGACTTCCGAAGGTACTGCAATCTCCACACTGGAGGGAGGGCAAGCGGCTCATCCTGGGGCATTGAGAGCTTGGGTTGAGAATGGCCACCTTCTGGCCTCACCCCTAGGCATCATGGGTAGCACACATGGAACCCTGCCCCAAGAGAGAACCGAGGCAGCAGTGGTCACTGGACAGGGGTGGGGTCAAGCAAGCAGATGAAAACCCATCCAAGGGAGATGATTGGAGACAGGACGAAGCAAAAGATGAGGCTCCAAGTGCACGTTCCATTATCCCACTGGACTTCTAAAATACTCAAAGATAAAATTATAAAGAATCAAAACAGTGACTGCAGAGCCTTAGATCCCAATGTGAAGCTCTAGGTCCCGCGTAGCTACACTGATTGCACACCCATGACTTGGCCCTAAGTGACATAGCAGGGAACCCAGTTCTGACCAGGACTGACTTTTAATTACTAAGCAGCTACCTAGGAACTTCCATTCCTTTTGGAGACCCTCATCAAAACAAATAAAAATTTTGCCTCGTCCTCACACGGCTCCCACGCTTGTCTTCTCTGCTCGTTATTTCACATGGAGATAAACAGTCTCGCCCACGTCTCCACCGTTTTGCTCTCCGCAGTTTCAGTTACCCAAGGTCAACTGCAGGTCCAAAATATTTTTTAAAAAATTCCAAAAATAAACAATTCGTAAGTTTTAAATTGTGTGTCATTCTGAACAGTGTGAAAAATTCTTTCAGTGTTTCACTCTGTCCCACCCAGATGTGAGTCATCCCTTTGTCTACCGTATCCAAGCTGTATCCTTACCAACGCCTTTGTCACTTAGTAGCTGTGGAGGTTGTCAGATGGATTGTCACAGTATCACAGTGCTTGAGTTCAACTAATCCTTATTTTACTTAATAACGTCTCATTCCCCTCACTTCATCTCATTGTGTGTACATTTCATTATTTCACATCATTACAAGAAGAAGGGTGAGATGCAATACTTTAAACAATAAAAAGAAGAAGAAGAAGAAGAAAGGTGAGTACAATACAGTAAGATATTGTGTGTGTGAGTGTGTGTGTGTGAGAGAGAGAGAGAGAAAGAGAGAAAGGCCACATAATTTTATTACAGTACAGGATGGGGCAAAAGTAGCTCTACAGTTATATGTGAAATACAGAGTTTATTCTTGTATCCTTACAAGAATTGTATTATTTTTCATACGAACAACTGTAAAACTACTTTCGCCCCACCCTGCATATTGTTATAATTGTTCTATTTTATTATTACTTAGTGTTAACACCTTGTGTAATTTATAAATTAAGCTTTATTATTGGTATGTATAAGAAAAACATAGTAGAGGATTCGGTACTATTCATGGTTTCAGGCATCCACTGGCAATCTTAGAACACAAGGGTAGGGGGTACTGGTGGAGTAACACTTGAATGATAGAACTATATGTGATTTTTTTCCCTGTAATCCTCACTCTGCCTCCACTTGGCTGATCATATACTTATGTGCAGTTTAACATGTTCTTGTGTCCCATGTGTTTCCTACAAATTGGCAGTAAGATTCAGAGAACTGATCATGCAATAGTCTTTTTAACTGCAACATATCCAGTCTCCTAATCCAGGCTCCTCCTGGCTGGCCATATTAACCTCCTCGAATGACATCATTTCATTTAATGTTGTTCTGTTACAACATTGATGGGGGGAGGGGGGGACACAATTTCCAGTTAGGGCCGCTGTCTGTGTGGAGTTGGCACGTTCTCCCTGAGTCTGTGTGGGTTTTCCAGGTACTCCACTTTCCTCCCACATCCCAAAAACGTGCAAGCGAGGTGACCTGACGGGTCTAAGTTTTCCCGGTCTGAGCGCATGCTGTATGCGCGAGTGCGCCCTGCAGTGGGATCTTGTCCTGTCCAGGGTGGGTACCTGCTTTGCACCTGAGCTGCTGGAATAGGTTCCGGCCCCCTGCAACCTAAACTGGAATGAATGGGCGGGAAAATCATTATCTTACTTGCTTTTATTAATCTTTCTTAAATGTATGCAGAACTCACATTTATTTCAATGTTTAATATTAGAGGTGTTTGGGTCTCTATTTAGAAATTTGGAAACATTTTTGTGACCAGAAATATGCCATGGAAACTTAACTCTACTTTATATCAAGTAGCCTACAGTGCAATTGGTTTCATTATAGGTCCTTTTGCATAAAGTCAGAATTACCAAGAACCTATCAATGACGTTAAGCGAGGACATACTCTACACCATTGCCCACCCAGACCATGTGTTCCCCTCCATCCATATCCATATCCACTTCTTTTCCCCGCTCCCCCCCACCCTCCCTACATGCACCGTCTGAAATCTTCTGTGGCACCCGTTACACATGGAACATCAATACCCGTCACAGTCTGACCTCTGACCAACCTTACCTTCTGCTTCCCAC